AGGTATTATGTTATTCCTGCCATTTTGTTGGTTTTGTTGTTTAAGGATTTGATGGTGTGCAGCTGAATCAATGCTACTCTCTGATTACTTGTGTTTTCTTGTGTAGTTTAATATTTCCTTTCCTCTCATGGCTTTGTTTGCTTTCATCTTCTGTGTGCAGAATTCCTTGTAGAATCTTCTGTAGTGGTGACTTGTTGGTCATATATTGTTTTAGTTTCTGTTTATTGTGGAAGATTTTTATTGCTCCATCAATTCTGAATGATAGTTTTGCTTGGTAGAGTATTCTAGGGCTGAAATTATTTCATTCAGTTCACTCCATGCCCTTCTTGCTTTTAAAGTTTCTGTTGAGAAATCTACTGTTATTTTGATGGGTTTACATTTATTCCTTATTTGTTTTTTCTCTCTTACAGCCTTCAGTATTCTTTCTCTGTTCTCTGTGCTTATTGCTTGAATGATAAAATGTTGTGCAAAAGTTCTATTTTGGCCAAGTCTGTTTGGTATCCTGGAGGCTTCTTGTACCTGAATAGGCAAAACTTTCTTGAATATATTATTTATCCCTTTGGCTTGCACTACTTTTCCTTCTTCATACCTATGATTCTCACATTTGATCTTTTAATGGAGTTCATGAGTTCTTGCATATTCCTTTTGCAGCTCTTTAGTTGTTTGACTAAGAGTTCTTCTGGTTTTTCTTTAATTTCTGCTTTAGCTTTGAGCTCTGAGATTCTGTCTTCCACTTGTTCTAGTCTACTGGAATGACCTTCCACTGTGTTTTTTGTTTGACTAAAAGGATTTTTATCTCCAGGACTTCTGTTTGATTTTTTTTTTCTGAGTTTTTCCATATCTTTGTTCAACTACACTTTTATATTTTGTGTTATCTTCTTTAATTCATATATCTCTTTTTTTTTTATTGTGTCCTTTGTTTCACCTTGGTGTTTGTTGAAGTCCTCCCTGAGTTCCTTTGCTGGTTTCTGTGTCTTCTCATGGTTTGTTTGGTTTTTTTTATTTTTGGTGTCTTGAAATTTCTTGAGGGCATCTTCTACTTTCTGGTTAACCATGCCTAGCACCTTCTCCATGAGTTTCTCAGTGATTTCTTCCAAGATTTCCTCTTTGAGGTATTTTTTCAGCATCACTGGGCTCATTAGTGACATTTCTCATTGTTTTGTTGGTGTCAGAAACTGAGTACCCATTTTTTCATTTCCTACTAGATCCTCTATTGAATTACTTTTTTCTTTTAAGGAGTGCAGTTTCCTTCTATTCTTCTTCCCATCTCTCTACTTGGTGCTGTGTAACTATGTTCTTGATAGGCTAGTTGGTGGTTTTATTTGCCTTATTTTTTCCCTTGATTTCATTTCTGTGTTGTGACTGACTTGTTTGTTAGCTAGGTTGATGTGCTCTTTCTGTCACTGGCCTGGAGGTGTAAATTAGCAGTAACAAATTCACAGGTTCAATGCCAGACAAGTTGTTTACATATTATATAGAAAACCCTTTTGTGATAATATCTATAAACAATAGGAGTTGGGAGGTAATGGTTATTATGCTGGAAATAGAAAATTGAGTAATCTGTTAAGGTGGCACTAAAAGGGAGGGCAAACAAAGGGTTGTGTGTGGAGGAAGAGGTACGGGCTCTTCTGAATTTTATGACTCTTATGTGTGTTAAAGTGTATTTCTGCTGTTTAGTGGAGGGTGATTATGTCAGGGATTTCAGGGGACCTGGGGTGTGATCATTTGGTACAGTAGGCTAGTCAGTGGGTGGTGAGTGTGTAGGAGGGAGAGGTAATGTGACAGGTTGGGGAATGATAGGAGGGGGAGGCAAAGACAAGGAGAGAGTGGATGAGAGGGGGAAGAAGTAATAGTTGGAATGGAGAACAAATTGTAGCACTAGAAAAAGAGGGAAAGTGAAGAGTGCAAGAATAAGGATAAGAAAATAGTGATGATACAGTCAATAATACAAAAAAAAAAAAAAACAGATACAGCAACAACAAAAAGTTCAGTCTGCCTGCTAAAAGTTCTGGAGTTACTCCTTTAGCATCCAGTCCTGGTATTGGTGCTTGGTATTCTGGGTTCTGTGGGGAAGAGTGCTGCTCCTCTTGTTGGATAGCCTGGGGTGGAGATGGCTGGAGGGTATTTTTATGGGTTTTTTCCCCCTTTCCTTGGTCTTATGGGCATTCATTACAAATGGAAGCTCTGATGTGGTCTTACCAGGTGACTGGCTTGTGAGTAGTATTTGGTTCCTTCTGTCCGCAGGCAAGTTGCACTTGGGGCCTGAGGTAACTCATTACCAGTTGGTCCAAGGTGTTCGGAGCTGTTGTTGTTTTCACCAGGCAGCAGCTGTGTTTCTCTACTTCTTCAAATCTGTGTGGTTGGATCCTCCCACAGGAAGGTGGGGTAATTAAGTATTGAGTACTGTCCTCAATCCTACAAGACCAGCTCAGGGATCCACCACTGGTCGCACTTTGGTGGGGGAGAGGGTTGGCTTGTTGCCCCATGCCCATTCTCAGCCTTTGTTACCTTTCCCATGTTCATTCACTGAAAAGTTCAGCTCCTTGCTCTATCACTATTCTCCAGGGCAGATTCAGCATTCCAACCAACCTCTGCTGTCAGTGTTAGATTACAATTTGCTGCTTATGCTTTTCTGTTTTGTTGGGGGGGGGTCATTCTGCCCAGGGGCTGCACTGGTTTATGTTTCCAGGGGGATGGGTAGGGGAGTCATGTGTGGTGTGAGTTGCTCACCCATTTGCTCTGCAGGTTTTCTCAAGCAGCTTTGGAACTGGCCAGTAGGGAAAAATGGGTGCCACTTTTCTCAGCATGGAGGGAGGTAGGGAGGCTTTCCATGGGCTAAGGATCCGGGATGTCATACAGTTCCATTCTGATTGATTCTCTGTCTTCTTATTGAGAGAGAGAAAAAAGAGAGAAACAGTCAGGGGTCTTTTATCCCCAGGGCAGATATGTCCTGCTGGCTGTGCTGTGCCAGGATTTTCCCAGCTATAAGGTGTGATTAAGAGCTGTTTTAAAGGTCAGTCCTTGAATTTTGTGTGCACCTAATGTGATGGTGATTATTATTTTAGCTAGAAGCAATCAGAATTACCCAAGTGTAGCTCCCATGTCTCACGATGGTTTCTGGAGTCACAGAGCTCAGAAATTCTGATTTCCTACCCTAATCTTGGATCTGTCCAAGTACATGGAGTTTTAATTCTTCACTGGAAAATCTCTAAAAGTTTCCACCTATAGTTTGGCTTTTCAGACATTATTAAGGAACACTTATTTTAGTGTCATAAATATGGTCTCCCGTATTTTCTTTTAAAGCTTTTGGTGTTTGGGGAACTTTTTTACATTTTTTAAAATTTTAATTATTTGAGGTTAATTTTCTGAGCAATTTCAGAGAAATCTATCTTTTCCAAATAAATGGTCAAGTGACATTCCCATCTAATAAATGCTTTATTTTTCCCACTGATTGAAATGACATCAGTATCATGTACTAAATTCCATGATTACAAAGGTTCATTCCTACATTCTTCAATCTTTCTTGGTGTGTCTACATTAAAGCCACACTTATAATAATTGCAGTTTTATAATATAGTTATATATCTGAGATAGTTAACCACCCTCTTCTCCTTCAAAATTTGTGTTTTTAGTTGATATTCATTTTGAAATAAGAATCAAGTTCCAGAAGGGATTCTAATACAACTTTTGTTGTATTTGACTGAAAGGTAATTAGTTTGGAAAATTAGTATAGACACATTATGATGTTATATGATCTTAAGATCATTTTTTAAATACTAGCAGGAATAATTTTAGTGCTTTATCCAGGTTGTTGTAGATTCTCTGAAGTTATCCTTTACTAGCTTATAATAGCTTCTTTTCTTTCTAGATTGTTTGCTTTTTTAATCATAAAAATATTGAACTATAAAATTTTATTCCCTATTGAAGTTATATTTCTCATCTTAATTGATTGATCAACTGTGGACAATCTTTATTCTTTCCTTTTTATTGAATTGAAAGTTTACAAATTTTCATTTTTTACATTAATGTTGTTCATAATAAATTCATGTAAAGTTCTAAATTTTTCCTTATGATTTTTTTGGCAAATTTCCACAGGTTTTTTTTTTTTTTTTTTTTTTTTTTCAGAATTAACCAAAGGCAATCTATTCCTCCAGGGATTTAGGTCAAGTCTTTCAATCTTTAGCAGAATGATATCATAGTACCAAGTGCTAACAATAAGGTTATAAACGCTAAATAGTAACTGCTTATCTACATTTCTCATTAAGAAACAGCCCAAAGTCCAGTCCTTAAAGGCATGACATATAGAACATCTTGATCTTCAAATGACATAGTGACCCAAATTATATGCTGGCCAACCTAGTGGGAAACTAGATCATGGCTGGGCAAAGACTGGTTATCAGAGAAAGTGCTTACATTTTAAAAACTTAACTCTGTGGCTTAAAAAATTCCTGGTTGCTGTCAATTAAGAAAGTAAAAAATATTACAGATGGACCCACACTTTCTTCTATCATAATATGAAGGTAGAGAAAAATGTAGTGGATTTTTTTTAAAATAAATTACTTGGGGGCAGGGGGGAGAAATGACCCAAGCTTTGTATGCACACATGAACAATAAAAGAAAAAAAATTACTTAGTAATAAGAAATTAGACATACGCCTTTTTTCCACTACAGAATAACCTCCTACTTTTCCAGACAATTAACCTTGCTATTCTTCCATGATACATATTCATGTGGAAAAATCTTGTTGAGCTTCGCCAGGGCCAAGAGATGAAAAACAGAACATGTCCTAATTAACTGACCCATAAAAACATGCCAATGTTTTGCTAAACATCTGCAAACTGCATAATGCTAAACATTATGGACCCATAAAAACATGCCAATGTTTTGCTAAACATCTGCAAACTGCAGAATTCCTCAGCCCTTAGCCATAGTTTCTGCTCAGTAACTTAAAGCTGGATGCTGCCCCACTGTGACTCTTCTCTTCAGGTCTGAAGTGAGTGCTAATTGTCAAAGTCTGGAATGTCATCGTAGGAGTAACCCCGGTAGCCTTTGGATGCATAGTAGGCGATGCGCAAATGGTAAAATCCGGGCAGGAATACCAGAATACCAATGATCAGGACAGGAATGGCCCGGTCTGCCTCCCCTTTGCTGAAGTAGCCGGACAGCAGGAGGGAGCCTATGATAATGAGAAAGGCGCCAATCAAAAACAGCACAGTGGCAAGTGCAATGGCCTTATAAGGGATCTTAGGAGGGCTTTTCTTAAACTGAAGGTCAATGTAGCCATCATCTGTACTGGAAAGCCTTGAGTATTTTACTTTACTACTGGGGATTCCAGTAGCCAGGTTGGTACGAGATGGCATCATAACACGCTAACACAACTGTACTGTTTTCCTGCCGGTCTCCAGACGTCACCACCCAGATAAGTAAGACCACACGAATTTAGACGTAAAACAAACAAAACTGGTTTCTGGAAAGAAGTTAACCGTGCCCGGGCGGGGCAAACGCTTCACACCGAGGCCTCAGAGCTGACTTCCGTGAGGAGGGCGAGTCCGCTGCCGCCCCGCTGACACGCCTTACAAGAGCGCCGTGCCAGACCGCTCGCGCGCAGGGAGCTCGCTCACGGCTCGCAACGGAGGCATCCGGAGTCGCATGGCACACTCCACCGGCACCACTAACCTAACTCCACAGGTTTTAATATGGAATGTTTTCATCATCATTCAATTATACAATATTGGTAATTTCTTTTTTTTAGTAGTGTCTTGTCATAAAGTGTCTTGTCATAAAGACCATTTGGGGTAGTTTTTTGTTGTTCCAATCTATCATATTATGGACAAGGATTGTTTTGAGCTTGTGATTCTACGTAAATGGCATGCTTGTGAGTCCTGTAATTTGTTTTTTCACTCAGTAACATATTACTTATCTGTATTGAAAAACATATAGTATTTTGTTTGTTTCCCTTGTCATACAGAATTCTACCAGAAGTGTATATCATGTTTACCAATTTCATAACTGAGGGTTAACTGGGTCCTTTCTCTGTCTGTCATGAAAAAAAATGCTACAATGGTTCTTGTATCTGATTTCTTTTGAAGCTAATGAAAATTTATCTTCATATGAAATGTGAAGCAACTTAATATTACTGGCTATTGAAAAATTTGTCTCCTTACTAGGTGATACCAATAAATTTAAGATTTCTCACTGTTCTTCACAATCTCCAAAATTTTGTCAGACTTTTAATTTTTTTTTCAATCTGAGAAACCTGAATAGTTTAATCATGGTAAAAATCCATCTTGACTATGATTTTTACTTACACTAGTGAGGATGAAGCTCTATTCTTTATATTCTTGGTCATTCATATTATTTTATCTATGAAATTGCTTACTATATAACTTTCTTACTGATGTGTAGTAACTGTATGAAGTCAGGATACTAATTTTTGTGTTTATATTTAATTCATAATCCTAATCTGTGCCATTTAATTTCCACTTTATTTTTTATCTTTTTGTGTGTTGTTATATAAAAGATGAACTTTTCATCTTAGAAGATGAAAATTTGTTCATGTTTTTTCCTGTTCTCCACATTACTCATATTTTTGTCTTCATTAAAGAATATTTTCTACCATAATATATTCAACATATTATACTTATTCATTTACAATTTTAAAATACTCTTTTTAAAATTTAGATCTTCACACCATCAAAAATATTTTAATGTAGGAAACTAATTTTTTCTCAAATGTATAATAAATTATTCCAGATCCATTTAATAAGGAATTTCCACAATATTATTTATTTCCAGTCATATACAATCATTCACATAATCATTCATTTATTTATTCAGTATTTATTTTGAGCCTAACAAATGCAAGGTATTGTTTTGGAAACTGGGATTGTAGCAATGAAAAAATTTATGTAAAAATATTTTGCTCTTATAGACTGTATATTCAAGTGAGAGAAGAGAAACAAAAATAAATAAGCAAAATGCATGGCATATCAGTTATTGTTTAGTAACTAAATCTATATTTACTAATGGTGATAAGTACATGACAAAAGATAAAAGCACAGAAGAAGGATGAGGGAATCCAGGATGCAGAGGTTGTAATTTCACCATGGTGGTCAGGGAAATCGTTTTGAGATGCATGGAAGACTTAGAGCAGTAAGGGAGGGATTGAGGTGTATATCCTGGTAAGAACATTAGAGGTTAGAGGAGCAGTAGAGTGCAAAACTCTTGGAGGTGGCAACAGGCCACAGAGGTCAACTGTTCAAGGAAGGAAGTACTAGTTAGTAGAGTTCTCAAAAGGGAAGAATGTGGGGACAGCTATAATATTTGTAGCACAAAGAAAAAACAATCCTATGCATCCATCACCCCATTTCTTTGCTTCATTTGGCTATAAATTTACAATGGCTTTATAATATACATTGACAGACATTAGAGAAAATCTTTGCTTGTTATCCTCTTTGTAAACATTTACTTGCCTGTTTGAGGCCTGTCAATTTTTATCCAAGTGTTGTATTCTATGGTCTATACTGTTACATTACTGGTATGTAAAGACACATATCTTTATAATGTTATTAATTCTTTACATATTTATTCATCATTCCATCTGTTGATCTTCTGATCAAGATGGAGATTAACTGATGACCATATCCATTAGGTAGATATTGCAATGTTTTATTTTCTTAAAATAAAATAATGACAGCATCTTTTCATACTTTGCTCTGTGTCACAGTTCTGTGTTACAATTTTGCAGTGCATAAACTCCAATGTAAGGACAGTGCTCAAGTCATCTTTTTGCAAATTCCACTCTGCCTTATGCCAACTTAGTAAATTCAAAAAATTTGATAAAATTGGAATAATCAGTTTCCAATATCATTTATTGCTTTCCGTTATGTGGAAGCATGTTCAGGTACATCAATCTATATTAATTATGTTTATTCCATATTTATCTTTTCCTTACGTTATTAATTATGCTCCCTTTGATTTGTTGTTAGCTCTTTGGAAGGGTCAAGCTATCCTCATTCATTAAATGCATATTTATTAGCACGTACAGTGTGCCAACCATACACTGTCCTAGAGAGTGGAGAAACAGCAATGAACAAATTCTTGTCATCATGGAGTTTATGTTCTAATGAGTATCTGTATTCTAGTAAATGAATTGATTTCTTTTCTCTCCATTGTGGTCGAAATTCATGTTAGGCTCTGCATTCTGCCTGAGTAACTCAGTTTTAATATATCCTATCCTAATCATTTCCAGAGTGAAGGATTTGATAGACCCTCCATGAATATCTTAGCAATCATTTGGGTATGGTTATTCATGGCACTCCTGGCTAGAGCTGGGCTTTGAAGCACAATTGATTTTCCAATCCAACCAACTCTCTGTAAGTTCTACCAAGAGAGAAACTCTCATAGAAATACTGCCTAGCCTTCCATGGAAAAGAGAGAAGTTGGGTGGATCCTGTTACCAATATCAACAAATCATGCTAACCATTGCCCCTGGACCCCATCTTCCACCCAGCATCCTGTACTTTCATGACCAGAATATTCTTTGTCACTTTTTCCCTTTTTTCAGGAACATTGGCCTGAAAATTATTTGAGCTACAGCTTTGTTTCAGTTCAAATATTTTCTATATTTCAACATAAGCAGATTTCACTAAGGATTTTTTTTGTTGTTTTTGCGGGCAGCCTCACATATTAAACAATATGACTTTGCAGGAACTTGTGTTGGAAATAGTGCATAATACACTATCCACTCTTGAAACTAGGTTTTCTAGCATTTTGCAAAAGTCCTTTTCCCCTTGGCTAGAAACTGCAGTTAATCCAGATTCTCCCCCTACTCCACACATACACAAAGCTCTTCTACAGACTTTTTCATTGCCAAATGTTAAATTTTTTTGAAAATTACCTTTTAAATATGAGTTACATTACATCTGTGTAGGAACAAGACACAAAGAAATACAATGAAAACTGTTAAACAACACAGGACAGGATAGGGGAAATGGGTGAGGAAATGCAGCAGAGGAGGTTGCATTGACTTAAGCACAATGCATGTATGGGTGTAATACCAAGGTAAGAAAAATACTGAACCATGAACAAACACCTAAACAACAAAGGACAAGAATGAAAAACAGATCACCCTAAAGGGAAAGCACTATTACCGCATTGAATGGAGTAACAACCAACATACTCAACACAACATTAGCTTCACTTATAGGCCTTAAACACTGAGCTTCCACATTTCGATTCTTCTCTATTAAAGTGTGCTGCTTTTAGCTATAATGAACTCTCTCCCTCAAGGTTGGTCCTGAGAAATTTTATCTGTCATATTACTAATGAATACAAACAAAACAGATGGATTATGCCTTCATTCTTATGTTGAAGGTGTAATATTGATTCAAACATACCACTGTGCATTCTTTATACTTCCCTCTGAAATAAGGATTTATAGGTGGACGGAGTGGCTTAAGTGGTACAGCACTTGTCTAGTAAGTGTGAGGATCTGAGTTCAAGTACCAATACCACCAAAAAAAAAATAACCTCACCACCGCCATCTCCATCATCACTTCCCCCCACATCCCACCATGGCCACCCACCACCAAAACACCACAGGAAAAAAACCTTGATACAAAAACATTCATCATCTTGCAGAAACTCTTGGGGCTGACAGGATTTATATTGGGTCACAAACCATCAATGTCTTCATTCAGTAGCAGATATGACACTATTCAGAGCTATCTCTGTTACAGGAAAAACTTTTCATGGCTCAAGTTCTACCCACTCATGAGTAGAAAGACCAAATGCCTCTGCTTCCATAATAGGCTTTAATGGGACTTTTTGTAGTTTTGCATAATTTTTTAATATAGGGTCAAAGAAAATGCAAGCTTCAGGCAAAGTCCATGAAGGGCCAAAGAAGAATCACCCCAGAAAGGGCAATGCACCTGAAAAGCACTTTCTACTCCTTTTTATTATAAATAATTCTTTAAAAGATCCACAATGATATGTCCTTCCCTGGTTAATTTGTGTTTTGTAGAAGTAAAGAATCTTGCTGAGATGATTCCCAAATCTTTGATTTCGTCCCTTTCCTTCAGGGCTCTGATATACTTACTGACTAATGTAGCATACCTGAAAGTTTTAACCCCCCAGGAAATCATCTCTTCAGGTATGACTGTGCATAAACAGGGAAGAAATACTTGCCCCTCTGTACTCAGAATCAATGGGAAATCCTCTGTTCCATAGAAATGCTTGATATACCTGTGTTAATATAAACATAATGTATTAATGCTTCTATCCTTATAAAGAATGTAAGGAAAAATAATTATGTCAACCATCTGTTTTTTTTAAAATCACATATCAAAGGCTAAGTTGTAACAGTAGAAGGATG